ATCTATCTATCTATCTATCTATCTATCTATCTATCTATCTATCTATCTATCTATCGTACAGTGTACATAAAATAATAGTATAAAAGCTATCCTTTCCATGTGTTCTTTTCCTTGTATCCAGATAAACAATTATTTCAATGTGTTCCTTTCTTTGTGTCCAATTATACAAATCATCGACTCACTGTATTGCCCACCCTGTAATCTTACCCAGGTATTTTTGTGCAGTCTAACTGTCATTTCAACGTGTTATTTTTCCTCTGCATACAGTGTAGTTCTATCTTTTTCAATGCGTTGTTTTCCCTGTACTTAGATTATACTGTATAACTATCATTTCAATGTGTTGTTTTCCATGTGTCCAGATTTGCTACATGGCTGTTGTACTGTATGCCCCAGCCCTAGCATTAAGTCAAGGTAAGCTGGGAGGGGTTTTGCCAGGTTAGTTTTAGTCTACTTTTAGTAAATGTTTTACTGCAACGCAGTCGGCTAATAATACATGCCGAGGAATAGAGGCTTTACGAGAGTGTAACATGCACTTACAAATAAAAGGAGGAGATCTGATAGTCCATGTAAAAATGAACGACGCAAATATTTGATCGATTTCCCTCGACTGAGGTTTTAAACTTTCTTTGTTTTAGTAGAAGTTTGATTGCACTTGCGTCACAAAGCGGTCATATAAGTGCCGAAAATTAGAGGTATTACAAGAAATTAACCAACCCAGAAAGGAGAGATAAGGACTATAAATGTTTTATAGTAAAGAAGGAGCAAATCACAACAGGACACCCTCCAACCGCCAGCTTTTAAATGTTAAAACAAAAGTTCTCAAAATCAGCCAAAATGTGATTTTTTATTTTTGAGTTTTCGTTTTCTTTCGAACACCAGGAAGCCAAAAATGTTTCTGAGTGTTCTAGAGTTTGTTGGGAGTAATAATAGTTGTAAAGCAACTATATCATGTGGTAGAGAACGGACATGCACTTTATAAATGCAGTTGTTGTTGTTGTTGTTGTTGTTGTTGTTGTTGTTATTATTATTATTATTATCATTATTATTATCATGATATTTATCCTTATTCTTATTCTTATTATCATTATTATTGTGATTATGATTATTACGATTATTGTGATGATGATGATGATGATGATGATGATGATGATGATGATGATGATGATGATGATGATGATGATGATGATTGTCTATACCCAATGTGCGTAAGCTCCAATCGTTTTAAAAGAAGCAGGAAAAATAAAATAAAACCCCGTGTCTCTGTGCACGTCGACAATCACTGCCAGCTGTTTCCATTTCCTGGTGACCCCCACAATGACCCTCAACGGTGACCCCATGGTGACCCCTACAATGACCTTCACTGTGACCCCATGGTGACCCCTACAATGACCCTCACTGTGACCTCATGGTGACCTTCACAATGACCCCCACTGTGACCCCAGTTCAGTTCCAAAAGAGGGCTGGGGTTGGGTGGGAAGAAGGGGTAGGGGTTTTTGGTGATGTGGGGAGGGGATTACCACAAAAGTAACATCAACACCTTTTGTCTCCCAACAGTGACTGGCCTCTCTATGGAAGTGTCCATCTTGACCATTGGCTTTATCTGCACGCTCTACACCGCTCTGGTACGTAGCAAACCAGTGAGGCAGCACGTCTTGGGTCATAATGATGCACTGTGATATATATGCATGTGTATGCCAGACTGTGAGACTGGAGAAATAGCGAGTGAGAATGAGAGAGAGAAAAAGAGAGAG